GCCCCCGGCGCCCGGGGCAGGGGAGCCAGCCAAGCCTGGGTGTGCTCTCACCACCGTGGCTTTCACAAATATGACGTTTCTGGTCCTTGGCCACCCCACAGTTCTGGGAGATAACACCCTGTGTGAGCGCTGTGCGCACACACTCCGGCCTTATCTTCAGCAAACAGGCCCAGGGCCCCGCAGAGCCGTTTGAAGGTGCAGAAGCAGCAATGTTGAACTGGCTCTTGGAAGGTGTTTGCTCCATCCCACCACAAAGGGCCGAGCTCCAGAAAGCGTCTTTCAGCAGCACAGAGCCAGAGTGGCACAGGAGGCTGGGCAGAGCCTCACAATCATCATGTCCTGATAACAAAGCCAGAAGTGATGCCAGCAGCTTGGTGGTGGTGTTTCAGCGATGGTTGGGGATGGAGGGGACAGGGCTGTGCCCTGGGGCTCCAGGATTTGGCTCTGCAGGGACAGGGGCACTTCACCCATCTCCATAGGGCCTCACCACTGCCACCAGCTTTGTGCTGAACCAGAGCAGGACTTGGCACTGCCATGGGTGTCTGGCCACTGTGTGATTTGGTGCTGCAACGCCCAGTGTCAATGAGAGGTTCAGCTTCCTCCCGACCACCTTCACCTCTCTGTAAGCCTGCATGGAGACATGGCTCACGCAAACCTCCTGGCCAAAACGTGACCACCCCTGATGGTGTGAGTGGGAAGCATGTGCTCTGTGATGGCACATCAGTGTGCGATACGGCGGCTGTCGCAGTGCCACCTCTGCATTCAGCCCTGCACCTCTCAGCCAGGCAGCGCTGATTCCTCTGGTGCATGGTCCAGGCTGGACAAGCAGTGATCATGGACAGCATGTTTGTAACCATGAACAGGATTACTCGGGTCTGGGTCTTGCTTTAGCAGCAGAATTAAAGCCAAGAGGAAAAGCCCAGGAGAGCTTTGGAGCACAGGTCAGCTCCCCATTACCTTGCCCTGGGCTCCCCTCCGGGACTGGAGGAGCTAACCCCCAGATCGCATCAGCTATGGGGCAGGAGCTGTGCTGGCTCTGCAGCGGGGGACCCAGGGCTGGGGCAGGATCAGGCAGCGATGGGAACCTGCTCCCAGCACCCACCCAACGGGTCTCCTCCACATCCTGCTCCTGGGATAGGCCACAGGCCCTATGCCAGCGCACAGCTGGTTCCCATTCCCAGCTCCAGCATGGTCCTTGTGCACATCCTGCTGCCCTCATGGACCTCATTTTCCCTGTTCATGGACATCAAGTTCTTTGCAAGGATCTGCTCACACCCCAGCCCCAAGCACCACCCAATGCTGCTGCCACTGGCACTGCTGCTCACCAAGCACAGCAAAAGGGGAAACACCAGCCTCTGCCAGGGCTGCTGGGGTCCTGCTGCTGTGCAAGCCTGGTGGAGAGGGGATCTCTGCCCTGGGATGACAGGAGGGGGCAAGGAGAGCCCTCAGCTCCCAGATAGGGGAAAGAGAACCTCTGGACCCTGCACAGGACTGGCTCGGTCCCCACAGCATCCTCAGTTCCCAGGCAGCACCCAGGTAGCTGCACTTTTTTGTGCCCTCAGCACCCAGTGTGGAGGCAAGGGACTCCCATAGCACTCTCCTGGCACATCACCTGATGCTCGCAGGAGAGGAGGGTGGCCAGTGCTGCAGGGCAAGTGCTGTGCAGGCTCCCTTACCCCTGCTCAGCCATGCTCCCTGTGGGACCCCGGCCCTGGGGAGACCCAAAAGGGCTTGGGGAAGCTGGGGGATGCTGGGAAGGCCAGGGGATGCCGGGGAGGCAGACAGAGCACAAAGGAGGAGATGCACATCGCTGGAGTTTGGGACATGCTGCAGCCCCTGGGAGTTTTCAAAAGGTTGGGGATGGCCCGGGGAGCCGGGCAGGCTGCGGGTATTGGTGCAGCTCCATGGGGACCAGACCTGCCTCCGGCCAACTGGCTCCGATCTTCCTTCAGCCCAGCGTGGGTGCAGAGCACCTGGCCGGCTGCTGAAGGGGG